AGGTAATTATGAGTTTTAATTATTTTTTAACTACTTTACAATTAAAGCTTATTCCGTTTAAACTCTATTTTAAGAAATTAAGAAAAATGTTATTATGCGATCTAGATAATCGTACTAGATAATCAGTAAAGTGACATAAATCTTTTAATATGATTGGAAATATTTAATATTATAATTATAAGAAGTGCTCAATAAGTAAGCATGCAAATATTTATATAAGTTATAGACTAACAAATAGTATAACTGTTATACCAAATGAATAATCTCTTAAAATAAATATAAACTTTAATATATTCTTATGTCTTGACATCAATTATTTAAAACATATTTTATTTGAGTTTGTTATTTGTTATTTAACTAGAATGTAAAATTTCAGGTTTTAAGCATATGTGGTCCTAATATTGTTTAATTTTTAAATAAAAAGTTGTTTATTTGGTAAACATTATGCATTCCGCCGGCAATAACTCAAACTGATTTCAAAACACATTTTCAAAACATATTCATATCTAACCGTTCAATCTCTTGTTGACCACTAATGTTAGTAATGGCAGCGATGTATCTCATAATGATTTTCGAGGCCTCAGTCTTACCCGAACCACTTTCTCCTATTTATTTGTTTTGAAAATATTATCATTTTAGATTATGTACCCTATTATGCGTTTATCAATGAATGCATACCTGAGATGACAATACAGGTGTCTCTGAATCTCTGTTTCATTGTCTTATAGGCCGAGTCGGCGATTGAGAATATATGCGGCGGTCTTTCAAATATTTCTCGTCCCTTATAGTCGTTCACATAATCGGAACCATAGATATTGACAGTTCTGTACGGATTGATGGAAATGCAGACTTCGCCGATATAGGTGTAGATCTTCGCTGAACCGTGTCTTCAAATTCATAATAATTGATTCAATTGAATAAATCTCAATATATTTTCATATATTAATATTTTAAATATTGTATGTATTCAATGCTTATGTCAAACTTATTTAACAATAAATTCAAATTTTGTAATAAATTTAAATGAATTAAAGAATTTAAAATGTCATTAAAAATTGTTTTATGCAAATATAGTATATTTAAGTTCAACGAACCAAACAATTCTTAAGTGAAACCATTTATTCAATCACAATGTGATTGACTCTTAAATTGACATTCTTTGAAATAATACCAAAATTAATGTCAAATTTAAATAAGTCTCAAAATAAGATAAATTTTAATATAAAATTTCTTGGGTTTAAAAGAAGTTTAACTTCTTTTGAAGAGTTTATACAAAAATTTATGAAATCTTTATGAATATATTTAAGTTTAAATCTATTTCAAGTAAAATAATGGACTTTAACTCAAATATTATATGATTTTATTTGAATTCTTATGAAAAATAATCTGATAAAAATTTTATGTAATCCTAATTATAATTTTGTGAGTTAAACTATTTGGGGATATTTAGTAACATTTATGAGTTAAACTCAAAGCCAAGTAATTATTGAGATTAAGTAATTGCCAATTGAAAACAAGTATTGCCAATGACTGATGTCTGTGCCCTTAATTAAAGACTTGAGTTAACAAAATAAACTCAACTTTCGGTCAATAAATACTTTTATGCATCAATTCTTATGCTAATTATGTTCTAATGAATTGGTATTTATTTTTGTAAATAATTCTTTTGCATGATTTCACACATTAGACTAATTTCATTAAACAATTTTTGTGTGGATTTTGTTTTCGCTTTTTAACAGTTTGCTAATAAAAAAATAGTTTTTCAAACTAAAAATATCAATTTTCATAAATCTCTACAATCATTTAACTAGCATTCATTTGTGTTTTGACTCACATAATGGCATAATTAGCTATAAATTATAGCATATAATATATGCTCTAAAATACTTTAAATAAAGTCATTAATATATCTATTTTTAGTAGAATTTTAATGTTAACAATAACATTTCAAGTTTATTCTTAAAATAATAATAAAATATGTGTTTAATTCACATATTAACGCAATACAATCATAAAGACAATAAAAATTATAAAAAAATATGCAAGTTTTAGTACCATTAATGGCACAAATAGACCAAGGTTGTTTCTATAAGGATAGGTTATGATATGGTTACCAATTTATATCGAAATGCCAATGAGTTTATTATTGACAGATTTTTGGAGCATTTTTAATTTTCCGAATTGTTTATCATTTGATATAATTTGAGATAATGTAAACTTAAGAGTATTATTTGTGATACCATTATTATATTTATATATTTGATGCTAACATTTATCTAATTTCTTAGAATATATCGACATTTCATTGATTCGCTAAATTCATAGCATCACACAATTAATGTAGAATTTATAATCAATTATATAATAAGTTTGTATTTAATGTTTAATTTAATTTTATAATAATAATCAATAGGATATTAAAATATGATTTTATACATGTATATATTTATGATATACTTTGTATAATTCTAAACTACCCTTATAATTTATAATAGACCCGTATTGATGAAGTTTAATGAAACAAGTCATTTTTATTTTAAAAAATTCAATTAAATTTTTTATAGCGTTTTTATTAGACAGGTAATTGATTGCAAGCCAATTGTTAAATTAATAATTAAATTATAATTATGGTACAATGTTTATAAAATAATAAAAAATAATTTAATTTTCTTAATCCAAACACAGAAATTGTATTAATGTATAATTCTTTTGTCTGAATCTTATGTTATTGTTATATAACTCTGAAAAAGTGAGTCAATGTCTGGGTTTGAGGCAAAAAAATCGCCGCAAGAGTTATATAACTATATCCATAAAGAAGATAGCCTTCAATTGTATGAATCATTTTATAAAAAGTCTCATAAAATTAATTGATGTTTAGTTTTATGAGAAAAATGTTTTTATCAAACCCATGGTTATTTGACTAATGCTTGTGGAAATATTGTATTTATTTGCAAAATGTTATTTCATAAGTCATTGGAAATATCCAAACTAAATGTTTGTAAATGAATTCCACGCTCAAATAAATTACAAAAAAGTATTTGTGAAATTTATATACAATAAACATGTGCTATGTAATAATCTACGGTATTTTAGAAAGAAATTCGTTTTCAATTGGCACATAAGCTATTGTAACAATAAACGTAAACTAATTGTTTGTAATTATGTGAAATATTTATAGCTTATAAATTTTATACCCTAAATCATATGAATGAAAACAAATATTTTGTAGTATAATGTCAACAATTAGACTATAAGTAGAGGTACTGATGATGACCGACACAATCATGACATGCAATGAAATACCATCACATCTAATGGTTTTCATTATCTCTAATGAATTATTAGCTTTATATAGACATGAAATAAAAGTTAGTGTTTTAGTTAAATAAAATCCGTTTAAAGCTATAATTTAGAAATTTATCGGTTGGTTGTCATAACTAAAAGATTATTTCATAAGAACTTTAACGCATTGTTAGCAAAATATTTTTTATGTAAATAAATGTGTTTTTATATCACTTTCCAAATACATATTAAATATTTTATAAATTTAATGGATGTTTTTTAATGAATTTAATTAATATACTTCTACTAAAAACAGGAAACTGTTTGTCACAACAAAATAATTGTTTTTGAAAATATCAATATTTTTTATGTTTCGAGAAAAATAAAACTTTTTTTAAAGCCTATTGTAATCAAATATTGATAAGTACTGTATTTTGTGTGAAATATTATACAACACTTGAACCACATTTTGATTGACATTAAAAGTTATAATAAATCTTTGATAAGTTATTTAGAT